ACCTTTTCTGAAAGAAAGAGCACTAGTATAATGGATATCAGGTTGTTTTCTCATGGTTTGCACACTCACCAAACTCTTAATTCCTACCAAGTTGTTTCATGGCCGCTGGGATTTTTCACCCAAACTTTTGTTTCAGTCCACCTCCCCTAACTCTAAGAGCCAACTCAATCGCTACTTCTTCTGTGGAGAAAACTCCATGACCTCCTGAGAGAGAGGGGACTGCTCTTTCCTTTGTGTTTTGCTACTACTGGTATGCCACCTCTTCATAGCATACATTGTACTGTATGAAGCACGTGTGTGTGTGTGTGTGTGTGTGTGTGTGTGTGAGAATTTATAGGGGAGTTTGGAAGGCGCTCATTGCCATCTGGTGGGGAAGATATGTGTAGCATATGTACATTTCATATCATGGCAGTGTAGATTTATGTGAGATGTGCAGGGTATTTCATGTGCAACATAATATTGAGTGTGACAGGCATTCCCTACATAATGATTTTTATATTAGGAAGCGGAATAATACAGTGTAGGGTAGGAAAAAGTTTTCCTCTACCTCCTTAGGGTCCTGACTGGGTCTGAAAATTAAACTGACAAAAACATAACCTGGTGTGTGCCCTGACTGGAAATTGAACTGGCGACCTTTCAGTGCATGGGACGACAATCTTCTTATAAAAAAATAAAAATAAAAATAAGGCCCTGGCCAGGTAGGCCAGTTGGGTAGAGCGTTGTCCCAATATGCCAAGGTTGCAGATTTGATCCCTGGTCAGGATACATACAAGAATCAACCAATGAATACATATATAAGTGAAATAACAAATCATTGTTTCTCTCTTTCTCTAAAATCAATAAATAAAATTTTTTAAAATATTAAAAACATAAACAAGACAGAAGAATAAATTAGGTTGAACTAGATAACCTCCTGAGTTCATGCTCTCTGAAATTGAAAGGTGGAATGGAAGAAATTAGCAATTTGCAACAGATGGAGTTTTTATACTTCCTAACTGAACTGATGAGCACAAAAGTCCTTATCACACATCACTTACCGTTTTTTTCACTTAGAAAAACCAGTTTAAACTGATTCTCATCAATATTCTTGATGTGAAGGAATTTGACTTTTATTAATCTGATTTTATAGACCACCTATCATTTATTATATGTGATTATGTAGCATTATAAACTAGAACTTATGCCTGGAAATCATTTTGATACATGTTCCTCCTGTCTTCTATTTATGAGCAAGGGGCAGCTGTGGGGTGGTTCTGTGTGTAGGATTAAGAAATACTGAAGTTCTTGAAACAAGTCAGATGTTTTTATTTTCAAAGCAAAAGATCACACCTAGTGAAGTATTTATTTACAGGCTTCACAGCAAAATAAAAGATTAAAATAAAAGAAAACTTTCAAGGGAGATAGTCATAGAAACCATCTGAATGCCACAGCTTTCCCAACTCCAGGGGCCAGAGGACATTACGAAAGACACAGAAAAGTTGATCTTGTGCTTGTAAACATTTGTAGATTAAGGTTATAATGACCAATACATTACAATGAAAGTTTCAAGCTGAAGAGAGACGCCCACTCTACTTGGTGTGTCAATCCACTATTTGAACAATATGTCTAGTAATATACAATACTTTCGTGAAAGATTTATTCAAAACAAAAACAAAACAACCGTGTGTGTGTGTGTGTGTGTGTGTGTGTGTGTGTGTGTGTGTGTGTGTGAGTGTGTGTCCCCAGGACATAGTCATTGATTTTCAGAGAGAGGGGAAAGGGGAGAGAGAAACATGGATGGGTTGCCTCCCAGATGCACCCCCATCGGGGATGGGACCTGCAACCTAGGTACATGCCTGACCTGGAATCAACCCAGGACCTTTCCATGTGCCTACAACCAACTCGGGCCAGAGCCAAAACAACCATGTGTTGTTGTGTTTTTTGTTGTTTGTTTGTTTTAAATATATTTTTATTGATTTTCAGAGAGGAAGGGAGAGGGAGAGAATTATAGAAACATCAATGATGAGAGAGAATCATTAATGGGCTGCCTCCTGCACGCCCCACACTGGGGACCAAGCCCGCAACCCTGGCATTGCCCCGACCGGGAGTCGAACCTTCCCCTCCCTGCTCATAGGTAAATAGTCAACCACTGAGCCACCATGTTTTTAAAACCGAAAGTGAAAATTGTTATAACTTGTTAGTGATTAGCCCTAGAGACACCAGGTCTGCTATTCCGGAAAATCACTTTTAGAGAAAATCGCCATTTGAGCAGTTTTCTTTTTCTTTTTTAAGGAACCAAGCCATTCATCTGAGCGACACCCACTGGGAATAAGGCAGCACCCACCTCGGGGACGGCACCCGGTCGTCCCGCCCAGCTCCCGGGGTTCCGGACGCTCGGCTCGAGCTCCCCCGCGCGCCGCCGCACCAG